GTATTCCACGGTGTAAATGTACCACAGCTTTTTTAGCCACTCATCTACTGATGGGCACTTGGGCTGTTTCCAGATCTTAGTTATTGTAAATTGTGCTACTGTGAACATAGGCTTGCTTGTATTCTTTCTGATTGGTGTTTGGATTTCTTAGAATATATTCTTAGAAGTGGGATCGCTGGGTCAAATGGCAGTTCCATATTTAATTTTTTGAGGAAACTCCATACTGTTCTCCACAGTGGCTACACCAGTCTGCGTTCCCACCAGCAGTGCACTCGGGTTCCCTTTTCTCCACATCCTCCCCAGCGCTTGTCATTTGTTGATTTGTTGATGGTAGCCATTCTGACAGGTTTGAAGTGATACCTCATTGTCATTTCAATTTGCATCTCTCTGTGTTTATCATAATTTCCAAGTTGGAGAATGGAGAAAGAAGAGTACATACATTAAGGATCTAGGGTTATACCCAAGTGGAGGGCATCCATCTAAACTCTTTCTCTCCCCTGCCTTTTAGCCCTTCGTCTCTTCCCCAAAGTGTTCCTCCACCGGAAGGTCTGTGGCATGGTAGAAGCTTGTCGCCTCTTTTCCAGGGCCAGAGTGCAGGCAGGTGACTCTGGAGAATGCTGCTTACCTATGCGGTTCCCATTTGACGTGGCACTGTCATTTCCCCAGCGGTGTCTAAGGGAAGGGGCGCCACACCTACCACCGGAAAGGCTCCGAGGCGGCTTTTACGTGACTTGTTTCTGATGTATGCTTATTGCGAAATAATTCTAACAAAAGTTTAAAAGAACTAAAGTCCCTATGAACTAGAGGCAACTCCAACAACATTTTGGCATATTTCCTTCTGGTGTTTTATTCATTTTGTTCTTTCATAATCGAGCTCTTTATGCAACTGTTTTTGCTTAACATTATGGCATATATATTTGTCCATGTCATTTTGTTTTTACGGCTACGAAATGATCTGTAGAGTAGCTGCACCACGATTTACTCGTTGTTTTCTGATTTTTTACAATTTCAAATAACACTGATAAACAGCCTTGTGTGTAAATCGCTGCCCTTCTTTTGGGTGATTTACTAAAAGAGTAATAAAAAGGTATGTTTTCATTTTTTTTCTTCGTTGGGTGTATATGTTTTTTGGGGTATATATGTGTGTGTGTTTTCTTTTGGACGGGTGTCACTTTTTTTAGAGACAGTGAAAGGAAGGAGGGAGGGGAGAGAGAGAGAGAGAGAGAGAGAGAGAGAGAGAGAGGTTGCTTTCCACACACATGGACCTGGCGCTGGAGGCGAACCCGCAATCCTTAGTTAACTTGCAACCCTTCCACACACAGGCTGCCGCTCTCACTGCTCACTGAGTTGCGGCCAGGGCGGGTATACGCGCTTTTAAAAGCTCCCAATATACAGTGCCAAACTGATTTCCAGAAAGATTATCAAATTATACTGGAGCGGGAGGGGGGGGGGAATTACTGGATTTGTTAGAAAATGTGACAGCAATTCTCTTTTTTCTTTAAATAATGGGGAGACACAGCTGTGTATTATGATGCTCAGCATTGTGTGCTGTTGCATGGTACTCAGGCAATGGTGCTGCCAGTACAAGTGCCACAGGGTGTGGAGAATACAGATGCACGTGGGCAATGGAACTCAGGAGACCGTCCTTTAATGGAGTCTGGATGCTCACTGGGTGTTGGGGGTTGAGGGGCTGAGGAGCAGAGAGGGCAGAGAAGGGGTGGAGTGGGGATGCCGCCAGGAGAGGGAGCTGCGCAGGTGGCAGCGCGGCAGCACCCCGCCGCTCCCTCACATAGGAAGGACTGCAGGGTGCCAAGGGCGGCACGGAAGCAAACCCTTTGGCCACCTGAGTGACGATGATGTCCTTTGGGTTAACCAGACATTTCGGGGGAAATTTCTGTAAAATGGTGGCCAGAAATAAAAATAGCTGCGGGTGGGCCTTCTCCTACACAAATTAGTTTTCCTGAAAATGACAGGAAAGTTACTCCTTGAACACTGTGTTTCTGAACTGACACAGAAAGAATACACAGCGGTTATTTGATGAGTGATTGAATAGATGTACACATGGAAGACAGGATGGCTGGATAGATGGCTGCACACGTCTGCTGCCATCTAATAACTAGCACCATTCATTCCAAAATATGTATTGCATATCAGCTCTGTCAATTACTTCATTAAACATTCCACATCATTAACTGCTCTTTTGACTTTTTAAGTTTTCATCTTTTTTTTTTCTTTTCTAGAAACAGACACCCGTTTTCAGTTGTTTAAAAGGATCTGAGAGGAAGAGGCCCATATATTGGCATTTCCCTTTTTCTCTTTGGCAGGAAATATAGCTAAAGATATTTTCCCTCATGCAATTTCAAACCCAAATGTCACTCCCTAACTTTAAAACTTTAAATGGTTCTCCTTGCCTGTCACATGTAATAAAGTTCAAATTATGTTACCTGCTCCTTTATATATTTTTTTATAATCTGACATATATCACGATTTTTTCCTTCCATTCTTTTGTGTATGTGAAAATTTTTTGGGTGGTAAAAAAGTATAACAAAAATGTTCATTTTAACACATTTTAAATGTGCAATCCAGTGGCATTAATTGCATTCACAATGTTGTCCATTAATCACTACTATTGATTTACAAAACTTCATCACTCCAAAAGAAACTCTATAACCAGTAAATTCCTATTTCCCCAGTACCTGATAGCCAATAATCTATTTTCTATCTTTATGAATTTGCCTAGTCTAGATATTTCATATAAGTGAAATCTTATAATATTTGTCCTATTGTGGCTCATTTCACTTAGCATGATTTTTGCAAGATTCATCCATGTTGTAAGTATCAGCATTCATTTTTTTAATGGCTGAGTAATGTTCTATCATTTGTATATATCCCACCTTTTGTTTACACATTTATCTTGATGGACAATGGCTTGTTCCCCCCCGCCCCCCATCTTTGGGCTATTGCGAATAATGCTACCATGCACATTAGTGTACAAGTGTGTGTTTTAGATGTCTTCAGTTCTTTTGTGTATATACCCAGAAGTGCAAATGCTGGTTTAAGTAGTGATTCAGAATATTAATTTTGATTATAAAGTGTCAGGTTTATTTAGTTAATTTTATGCTATTTAGTAGAAAATACCATAATGATGGTGTTTTTCAAACTTTGGGCCCTAATCTATTAGTAAGTTATGAAATCAATTTGTTTGCTATGATCAGCATTTTGAAAAATGAAATAGAAAAACAAGAATGCAATGGACTCCTTAAGGGCAATATTTTGTGAATCTTTTATTTCAGTTGTGTGTGTACTGTAAAATATGTCTTATTGTGGGATGTGATCAGAAAAAAAATGAGTTGAAGAGTGAGATTTGGAATTAGCCAGGACTCCGTGTGAGTCTGGGCTCCTGGGGGACTTTTACCAGTTATCTGACTTTTTTTGTGTGGCTCAATCCCTTCATCAAAAAAGGAGAGTAATAATATGTCCTTGTTTTGTGTGCCCCTGTGTGAAAATATTAGAGATTACTTAAGTAGAGTGCCTAAAATATAGCCAATGATTAACATACTTACTCCCAAATTGGCTTAAAAATAATGCTCTCCCTGTAAAAACACTTCCTTCGCTGGAAGGGAGACGGTATGTGTTACTGATGAGGACACATTGCTCGGGCTGTTGCTCCAATTTGATTTTGTAAGGAGACTCAGACACATAGCTCTTTCCCCTTCTTATTCTCACATTGTACTTATGTCTATATTATGGATTTGGGCACTTTATTATACATCTGTCATGTATTTCCTAATTATTTCACAGCTCGGCTAGTATTACACACTTTCAAATATCTTCCAGTGTTTAAAACAGTGTGGGGCACATTACAGGGTGCTGGATGGAAATCTAGGGAGTTTGGCCTACAGCACACTTTTTGCAAAGTATCACTTCTGTAAGGGGAAGCAGACATATCCTGATTCCACCGGTATTTCTCACTCGATCTACTCCATGCTAAACATGCCAGTTAAGCACCAAGTCATGTCTCTGGGCAGTACAAGTGGAAGGTGTGAACAGAGAAACCACTTTATCTGAGGACAGTGGAAAATTAGATTCTAGCCCCCCCTCCCCACGCCTGTTCCCATCGGGTGGGGGGCGTTGGTAATCCCCGAGGACCAGGGCCCAGAAGCGCGCCCGCTCTGAGCCCCAGCAGCCGGCCAGCACGCACGCTCCCCCGCGCTGAGAGCCCTTCTCCCCAGATGAATCCTCATGGTGTCACAGACGCGCGCAGTCTGGATCGATACTGGATGGCGGACGTGCTCCCGCCGCCGTCAAGTGTAGGAACCGGGCGGTGGATTTAGCAGCCCTGCCGCCCGGGCGCAGCTTCTCATCAGCTCGATCCAGGCAGAGGACCTTAACCCATTCCCCGGCTGATACCCACCTGGTGGCCTCCCCGAAACCCGCCGCCCCTTCCTCGCAGCTCGGCTCCGCAGGGCGGGGCTTTGCCCTCAGGTCCCGCGCTGGGGCAGCAGGGCCGCGGCGCACGGGAGGGAGCCGCGGGCGGGAGGGCGCCGTTAGGTGGCCTCCAGCAGGGCTCCCCGTACAGTCCCCGGAGGCGGCTGCAGTGGGGAGCGCGGAGCTTCCTCACACTCCGGGCCACCTTCTTCCATCTTCTCGCTCTCCGGTGGGGCGGCGGCGGGGGAGCGGGGAGCCTCGGGCAGCCCCTAGGCCGGCTGCTGGGGCCGGAAGACGCGCAGGTCCCGGGGAGGCGGGCAGGGGCGCGCTCGCCGCCCGCGGGTGGACCCCGAGAGCCCGGCTCCGCGAAACCCCCGCCCCGGAGCCCGCTCCCACTCCTGATTGGCCAGCGCAGCCCCGAGGCGCCGGCGGTGCCCGGGCCTGTGTCTCAGCTATAAAGGCTGAGCAGGCATGACCGCCGCAACGAAGCTCTTCGGGCCGCCGCGGTGCTCGCCCGCTCAGCTCCGTAGCACCCCCATCACTCCCTGCCCCCGAGCGCTCCCGACTCCACCATGCCGAGGGGCTTCCTGGTGAAGCGAACTAAACGGACAGGCGGCGCGTACCGAGTGCGCGTAGCCCACCGGGTCTTCCCCCTACCGGAGCCCCAGGGGGCGCCGCCCTTCGCCGAGGAGGCTTCCCGGGCCCCCCGGCCGGA